TACCATCAACTATACTTTCTTAAAGATGATTGAAACTTTCATTTATTCTGCATCATGATATGACCATTGCTTATACTATTGTGATTTCTATGATTATATAATGATGAAAAATGACTCGTATAGAAATTTGAATAATGTAATTTTTTTTCTTAGTCTTTTTGAATTTATGACATTTATTTTCCACATAGTTATTTCTCAACAGGTACTTTGTAGAAAATCTTGATCAACTGACAAATAAATATATTGAAATTAGATTCAAATAGCATCCTCACATTTCAAGATTCGGGTATTTTTATGATTTTAAAGAGATACGTATATATTAACAGTTAATTGAATGTTAAGTTAATAGAGAAGCACAGTTATCAAGTCGAATTACCAAATCAGTTTTACATCTTATTTTTCGCGAAATTATTTATGAATGATATCAATTTATTATTTAAACTTTAACTTGAAAAAAAAAGAACATGATTTTATTTTATTATTATTATCTATGAGCACAAACCATAAAATTTGGTTGATTATAATAAAAGTCGAGTGTTTTATCAGTACATGCTTCTCCTCCAATTGAACCAAGATGTGGATAATGTATAGATGGTAATAAAGGTACAAAATATGTATGAATAAAACGGCAAATAACATTTCCTTGATCTCCTCTTGCTACTCTTCAACTAAATCAGCTGTTTTTTTTTCTTAGGATAGACCACAGATTAGAGTTCTTATTCATGTTGAAACAATCCATCCATACATATTAAATTAGCAAACTGTTCTTTTTTTTGTTATATTTATTTGTTAATAAATGTCAAATATAAAATAGTCAAAAAAAAAGAAAAAGTCAATATTCTTCAATTTTTTGTCGATCTTGTTCAATTTGTAAAACTTTTTTTGTTAAACAATTTGAATTTGAATCATCGGAAAATGTTCGTTTAATAGAATTATTTGTTGATTGACCAAAAAAAGATTTTTTTCATTTCTGTTAATAAGAATATTATCTTGATTATCATTCGAATTATTTATTTTTGATATTGTTGAAATTGTTGTTAAAAGTTTACCATCTTCAGTTCGAGTTCGAACCGTTCGTACTGTATCATTTGCACCTAGAATTTATTTATTTAAAAATAAAAGAAAAGCATTTCAATATGATTCATATAATTTCAATTAAATTAGATCTAATAAATTTTATAAATAATATTATTATTTTATTAATTTATTAATTTATTTAATATGTTAATTACTTGTTTATTTGAATAGGTCAACTAACAACTATTTTACTAAATATTTATTTATTTCATATATTTACATAATATGAGAGAAAAAATGTTTGAATAAATAAATAAATTTTATTATTCAATTAAGTTAAATAAAATTGGTCGAAATATAAAAATAGTTCTTATATATTTATTTAATTGTAGACAAATATTCTTATTTGTTTTTGTATTATATAAAAGAGAAGAGTCTAATAAATAAATTCAATTTCGATTAATTCAACTAAGATTTGATTTATTTGACTAGAGTTTTTTAATGAAAATTTTTCAAATCTAATCAAAGATTTAATTCCAACGTAGATTTTATTAAAAAGAAAAATTCTATATCGAAAATTCAATAGAGAATTCGACTTCTGTTTTTTAATGAATTATCTTGTTAAGAATCGATATATCGTCTATATTTTAATTCATTGTCGATTAAATAACTTGTATATATATTTGTTATTGTTGAATATAATAATTAATATATAGTTATCATGATCAATATTTATTAGAACTAATATTAAATAAATACTTAATTATACAATTGACAATAAATAATCAATATTATTTTCTTAAGAAATAAATCTTGATGATATTATTTAATCAATAATAAAAGAAAAGAACAAAAGGTTACCTACTTGAATCGATGATGATAAAACATTCGATGTTGGATTTGTTTGAATTTTATTTGATGAATAATTAATTGAAGATATATTTACGTTAACATATCCTGATTTAGTATTTTCAAATGTTTTATTACTATAAGGAAGATCAATTAATTGATTTTCTTTTAAATTTTTATCTAGATTCAGAATGTTTAGAAATATTTCTTTATAAAAACTAGTTATATCACCAATTATATATTCTTTGATGGTGTTAAACATGAATTTTTATCTTGAAGAAAAAAAAAGAATAAATATCTTTAATTGAATATAAATCTCATTTTCAACAAAATCATATTTGTTAATTGAACGAATAAAAACACTTCGAACTGTTTTTAATTTCGAACTAGGCATTCGGATTTATATAATTGAATTAATCGTGAACGAAATAATAATTGAGTATAATTTTCAAATAAATTCCAAATGATTTTTTCAAATTTATTTGATTGAGATCCATATAAACGATAACAAATAAGATCAAGATGAGATAAGACATATTCATACAATTTCCGATAAAACATTGTATATAGACTTAATTTAATATGTTTTTTATCATTATTTTCAACAATTCCATCTGATTTACTTCGATTTATTGTCAATTTATTCTAAACAACAACATCGTCTGTTTTTTTTCTTTTTATCGTATTAACTCCTATGATTTATTTTCATTATGAAAGTTAATTCAAATGATAAATGAAAAAAATTTTGCTTTCTAAAATTCTATTCAACTTTTTAGAAAAAAAAATGTTTTTTTTTTAAACGAAATATTTCAAGAATAAAATTGATATTATATTAATAAAGATTTATTTTAATTAGTTAACTAAGACAAATAAAATGTCTTTGGTTTATTCTATAATAATATTTGTTTGAATAAAAATAAAAATCTTCGACCAGATATTTTCCTTCGTTTTTTTTGTTAATTTGATTTTGAAAATTTTTGAGAAAAAAAAATATTCATTGAATATTGATAAAATCAATTAAACGAATTCAATATCAGAAGATAATCTTATTTATTGAAAATTTTCATTCAAAAGAAAAACTTTTTTAACAAATCGATTTTAATCGAATTCAATCAACTTTTTTCTTTCTTAAATTAAATTTCAAGGGGTTCTACATCTAAAAATAAAGATTGACACCATAGGGAATTATCGTCATTTTTCTCTAATATCCTCTATAAAAAGTGTGCTCTAGAAAGAAAAACAAGTGTTCGCCGTAGACAGGCTTTAAAATGGTTATTATTTATCGAATTATTTTCATTGTTTGACAAGCTTTTAGAAAAGGTCGACGTCAATTATCATATTTTCATAGAATTTCAGATGAGTTTATTTTCGTCG